AAGGAAACACCCAAGATAATAGTGATGGGTGATGTAAAACATCTTTCTACCCAGACAGCAGAAGCTCTGAGTTATAGAATAGTGATGTTGTCTAGAAGAGAAAGTTGTTTTGGGAATATACCACTTTAATAGTATAGTCTCTTAAAAATTGCCCTTTATCTGTGAACCTTCTTCTTGTCTTCTCTTTGTTACTCACCCTTAATGGAACCATCACGAAACCCACTTCTGAAATGGCTTTTCCAGAAGTTAAATGTATTTACTTTCAGTCAGAAGAACTCCGAAGTTCCAGATGTTCTGTGTGGTAGATTTATTTTCAGGAAATATTAAGTTGTGTTGGATATCTTTAATATAGGCTATACCAAAACTATTTATTCTTTTTTGTAACTTCCTTTAGTTCATTTTTCTCTATAATTGCTCTGTATTAACACAGAGGGTAAAAAGGCCATAGCCCATTACCAAAAATATACAGAATCTTCTGACCTGTGAGGTCGTTTGCAGTCATTGTGTGAACCGATTAGACTGTCAGGTGGTGAAAGACAGTAATTTGTCTCCAGGTGAATGTAACCTACTTCCTAGGACTTTACCCAGAGGATGTGTTCCCCAGGTGGGCAGAGAACCATTGATCTCTAGTCCAGAGATCCTGGCCTCTGCATGATTCTCAGGTCTCCGTGTGTACCTCCCATTTAATAGAAAAGTTTAAGAGAATTTCTGAAAATAACACCACTCCTACTGATGGGAGCAGTTCAGCAGTCCTATGGAAGAAAGAAAAATACACGCGTCTTGGCAGCCATGGTATTCTTCCTTTTATCCACATGAATCGGGAATATATGTGAACATTTGAATGCTGGTATATCAGAGCTACCGTGCTACCATAGAGTCATTGAATTACCACTCCTAATGCAAGTGAAGGTTTTATTATACTACTGTGAGTGTGAGTATGTGTGCAATACATTTGTGAGTTCCTCTTCCTGGTGTGTAGAAGAGCCAACACGAGCAGCGTGGTAATCATTGGGTGCTATTCTAATTGTTTGTAGCGAGTGCTATTTTTCAGGAGATGGAGCCAGTTAGTTAGGTTTGGCTGATCTACTGAATATCATGTGATGCTCTTCTTCCCATGTAGACCTTCAGCAAAAGCAGGTACTTGGAAGCCACAGGCTCACCTTCTGTCTCTACTCAATAATTATTAATGAAGAGACCTCCATAAGGGAGCACTTGGCTGTTATCAATAAATGTACCAATTATTAAACAGTCTCCAAGCCATTCAGTGATGTCTGCAGCATCACGATAGAACTGTCTTGTGTCACTTTTTACTTCCCTCTGGGTGGGGCCTTTTAGACTCCCCAATCATGGAGGCAAGTTAATCTTTCTCTCCAGGTAGTGACTTTTGCCCCATAGCTGGGTAAGCACTTCCTAGATTGAGAAAAGCAGCTACAGTAAATCCTGCTCTGTTTCCCTCATTTGGTGATCATTCAAATCACACATAAGCTCCCTGTACTCTAATTTCATGCACTTCTCCCAGACGCTATGGGTTTTCTCTCACTGTTGCCAATGGACGTCACCCAAACAGTGAGTTCCTATCTTACGGTTTTGTGCAATCATCGTCGTATTGTAGTCCTAAGACTCATTATAGTGTATTTTTGATATTTTTGAAATGTGTTAAATTTTTTAATTCAATAATATGAGCCAGAGCATGTTGCAGCAAATCTATTATTTGTAAAAAATAACAATAACAACAATAATAAATAAAATAAAATGGAATATCTTTTTTCATGGCTTTGTTTTAAAATGAAATACCTGTTATTTTATAAATACTTTATTTTAGCATGCAACTGTAATTTTCTCTAACTTGTATGTAGAATTAGTTTCTTACCCAAAACACCATTAGGATTTTTCTGCTTTTTCTTGCTTTAGGGGAAGATAACAAATGAAACTACATTCCATGGCACTCTATGAAGCTATGAGTTAAGGGCAGAATAAATATTTTTGATCATCTTTTAAGCTGAAATAGCAATAAAGATTTTTTTATGCTAAGAAACATTATATTCTGACTTGGCTTATATGTTTTTTTTAAAAAAAATTCCAAAGACAGGAAACATGGTCCTTATTTACATGCAGGTGATCAGCTGACTCAAGGAAACTCAATTGTAAACAATCCACAGCTCTTAAATCAGAGCTGATGGTGATAGAGGAGCTAAGTGGGTAATCTGGCCGTCATGTTTGGTATAGTGTAATAATGGCTTTGGTATTAGAACTTCAGACATAACTGGTAGGTTTTGGCCCATAAAATACTTATAATCTAGGTAAGCCTCTAAATTATTCCTCTCTTCTATCCCCATTGACGTCTCCCAAATCTCTAGACTTCGAGCAAGGTTAGCTACCTCTTGCTCCAGGTGAAGTCCAAGTTGAAGTCCTTCTTCAGTTTCCTTAGCAGAGCAAACATTTTGAAAAGTTGGTTCACCAACTATTCATTGAGCACCTTCAGTGCACTGGGTTCAACCACCATCACCACCATCTACTTCAATACCTCAGTTCCATCAGACGCACACCTCGCTATTCCACGGGGCAGAAGCGAAATTTCCTGAGTGTGTTCTCTGCTTCCTGTGATACAATTCCCACCCGGTACACTGAAGGCCACGCGAGTACATTAGTCACAACACGTTCCAGTGTGTGAGTCATTGGTCCTGAGTTTTGCCTCTGCTATTTAGAAGGTTTGAATTTAGACAAGTTAACCTCTCCAAGGCCTGCCTCTCTCTCTCTCTCTCTCTCTCTCGTTAAATGGAAATCGTAGCTCTCAAGTTGTGACCTTAAATGAGATGATGCAAAATGCTACCTTAGCTCAGTAGTGCATCTGGCACAATGAGCAGTCAGCAAAATGTTAGCTACTGTGGAAACCACTTAACCTTGAACTTTGGTCTCCTCATTTAAAATGTGAATGATAAATCTTGACCTGCCTCCTCCAAGTGGTAGGAAATAAGCTGTGGTTGGAAACTGCAGACGTGGGTGTTGTGATCACAGTGAACGATGGGGCTCCAATCCCTCGAGAGGAGTTGAATCTTGGGAGCAGTGTTATAGCTGGGCCTAGACACAACGTTGGTGTCAGACAGGCCCAAGTCCTCATTTTATCAAGCACAACTCAGACACGGGACATGGTTTAGGGAACCTGGGAATACGTGCTAGGGGAGAAGAGTGTGCACGGTTATTCTTTTGGGGGGTGGGCTGATTTTTGCTGTGGTTAAACTTTTCACTGCTCTGCGAAAACTGTGGGGCTGAGGGTGACAGAGTGGAAGCGCCTCTTTGTGGCACAAATGTTTGTATTTTAACCTCACAGTGTAGACTTCCAGTTGTTTGTTTTCCTCTAGGCCAGTGGTTCTCAACCTGTGGGTCCAGACCCCTTTGGGGGTCAAACGACCCTTTCACAGGGGTCACCTAAGACCATGGGAAAACACATATATAATTATACATCCTGCATATCAGATATTTACATTACGATTCATAACAGTAGCAAAATTACAGTTATGAAGTAGCAACGAAAATAATTTTATGGTTGGGGGTCACCACAACATGAGGAACTGTATTAAAGGGTCGCGGCATTAGGAAGGTTGAGAACCACTGCTCTAGGCTTTACTTTTTGTAAAAGTATAATCTAGATCAGTGGTTCTCAACCTTCCTAATGCTTTCCTAATGCCGCGACCCTTTAATACAGTTCCTCATGTTGTGGTGACCCCCAACCATAAAATTATTTTCGTTGCTACTTCATAACTGTAATTTTGCTACTGTTATGAATCGTAATGTAAGTATCTGATATGCAGGATGTATTTAGGTGACCCCTGTGAAAGGGTCGTTTGACCCCCAAAGGGGTTGTGACCCACAGGTTGAGAACCACTGATCTAGATAATCTCCCATTTCTGGAAGAGGTTCCGTTTTGATCCTTTGCTGGGATAGTTTCTGTAAGAATTAGCTATTGAGAGAATTTGAGAGGAGCAAGGAAAGGCACTATGTTATAGGGAGGAGAGTCAGCAAACAGGCAGGCGGGAAAACATATTAGAGGAACATGGCTTTGACTTAATTTTCTAAGTCATTTTGGTAGATGTTGAAACAGGATTATGTTTGCTGGTTTCTTTCTGTATAAATAATGTCAAAATTGCTGTTCCCAGAAATTTCTAAAAATTTGGTTTGAATTTATTAATAGTTTGATCTTGTTTATAATGTGACCATAAAAAATTATTTGAAAAAAATAGTGATTGAAAAGCAAGAGGAAAATTAGGGGGAAAAAACCCTCTATACTTTATATAACATATATTTGCAGTTGTATCTGACATGAGCTGAAAATCTGAGACGTAAAGTATAAGAACAGTTATAAAACTTTAGGTTAAAATTATTGAAAGAACTTTATTTTTAAGATTCAGTGTTCATGATCTGTTGCACTATGAAAACAGTTCAGGGTCATGAGAGGTTATAATCTATCTCTGAAGATCTACTCTGTAGACACTGGCAGGGAAAGCAGCAATGAAGAGGCCTCCCATAACCATCTAGAGTCTAGTAAAATTAACTACTTGATCTTTGAAGTCGTTAAAAAACCTTTTATAGCAGTGATGGCGAACCTTTTGAGCTCGGCGTGTCAGCATTTTGAAAAACCCTAACTTAACTCTGGTCCCGTGTCAGATACAGAAATTTTTTGATATTTGCAACCATAGTAAAACAAAGATTTATATTTTTGATATTTATTTTATATATTTAAGTGCCATTTAACAAAGAAAAATCAACTAAAAAAATGAGTTCGTGTGTCACCTCTGATACGCGTGTCATAGGTTCGCCATCACTGCTTTATAGTCTAGTAAAATTAACTTGATCTTTGAAATAAATAACACGTTTAAGAAGTTTATGACTTTTAAAAAAATGTTTTAATTGATTTCAGAGAGAGGAATAGAAACATCAATGATGAGAGAGAATCATCATTCGGCTGCCTCCTGCACGCCCCTTCTTGGGGATCGTGCCCTCAACCCAGGCATATGCCCTGACCGGGAATCGAGCCGTAACCTCCTGGTCCATAGGTCGATGCTCAACCACTAAGTCATCCCAGCCGGGCAAGAAGTGTATGACTTATGGGAGCCCCATATTTCAGAAAAATATTTCAGGAAGGCTGAATTCCAGTTGAGTGACTTGCAACAAAAAGAAACTAACTTGGAATGTGGCAATAAAACCCAAGACATTTTCTCTCAGCTCTAATACAGGAATCTCAAGGAGGAACATGCATGCTACAAGCATCTCTCTTCATGTGTCAGAAACCCAGCCTCCCATCTCGCTCCTTGGGATCCAGGCAGTCGGCACACTGCCCTGTGGGCAGAACAGTTTCCCTCTAGGAGAGGGTCGGATGACTCGTTTAGAATTCAGTCACACAACTGCTTTAAAAGCATTCTCCTGGGACCACATAGGAGGGGGTATGGCATGTTTCTTTTGGTGAATCTCAATAGTTGAGACGGGTGAGATATTCCTACTAGAACGCCAGGCCTGCTACCCCTGATGTGTAGTTCTCAACTTTCAGGATTTCTCTGGCTACTTAGCCATCATCACCTTACCATCTGGTGCGGGAGCCAGACCATAAGTGCATATCCAAACTTCTGATGTTCTTTGTAGCAAAGGTGGGGGAGATTTTTTTTCCAAGCTTTGAGCTTGAAAAGCTCCCTGTCAGAAAAATGAGATGGCCATCTAGCTTTGCATCGGTACCAAAGCGAGCATTTATAAAATCCTGTATGTGAAAACACCAGTCGTCAACTGTGCGATTTTAAAGGACTCCTCTTTCTGAGAGGAACCAGGGAGGCTGGCTGACATTTAGGTTCTGAGAAGAAGACCTCAGAGTGTTCCGGACCACAGGTACTCCGGTCCCGCACTGTAGTTTCTGTGCTGCTCTCGGCTGTCTCTGTAGAGCTTCTGTTCTCGGTAGCTCCGGAGGGCCAGCACCACGCTGACTCCGTACATTATCACCAGGAGACAAGCAAAGGTGGCTGCTGCCCCGTCGGTGCCTGCCAGCTGGCAGTTCATCCAGGTGAGGCCTTTGCGGGCATAGAGCCTCTCTCTTCTCTTGCAAGTGTCTGTGGCATTGATCCGCAGGGCTACGTGGAGGAAAACGCCGATGCCCACGCAGTAGCCCACTGCGGCCAGGAGGCTGAAGGCGGCCTCCAGGACGAGCCACTTCCTTGGCAGTTTGGTGAGACTCTTGGCTCCTTGGAGTAACACACCCATGGTGAGGACACCCAGCCCCAGGGACACCGCCACGCCGCCGTAGATGAGGGGCGCCCGGAGGACTGTGTACTGCTGGTCCAGCTGCCGGACCTGCTCCAGCTCCGTGCCCTCAAACGGTGAGTAATAGTTGTTCCCGAAGCCGCCACCACTGGCAAAGCTGGCGCTGAATCCAGCCAGGACGAAGTAGGAAGCCACGATACACATGAGAACCATCCCATTCAGTATCACCTCCACTATCTGCACCACACCTAGGAGGAGAGAGTCGGGATTTAACACGGACAGCACGCACCCAGGAAACCTCTCTAGGGCAGGCCAGAGAAATCCTGTGACGTGACTTTAAGGACATGGTCAGATGCAACATGAACAGCCTTGGATTGTTTTCCAATATTCATATGTTTGAATAAGCAAAATGTCACCCTGAAAATTTTTTTGGCAGCTTACAAAAAAAAAAAAATAATTAAACCTACACTTACCGTGTGACCCTGGAACTGTACTCCTGGATTCTTATCCTAAAGAAATGAAAACAGGGCTACACATGTATAGGGATGTGCACAGTAGCTTTATTTGTAGTAGCCAAATATCCGAAACAACCCAAATGCCCTTCAGTGGGCGGATGGTTAAACAGTCTGCCACACCCATACCAAGGAATAATCAACAGTAAAAAGAAACAAACTGTTCATACAGGCAACAAAGTGGATGGGTCTCAAGAGAATTATGACGAGCTGGGGGGCGGGGGGGAAAGCCAGTCTCAAAAGGTTACGCACTGTATGATGCCATTTATGTAACGGTCTCAAAATGACGAAATGATAGAGATGGAGAACAACACAGCTGTGGTTGTTGGGGCACGGGGATGAGTGGGAGTGGGGAGGGGAGAGGGCATGCGCGTGACTATTAGGGGGGAACACAAGGGATGAGGGAACAGTTCTAGACTTGATGATGATGGTGGCCACACGGATCTACACGTGATAAAACTGCATGGGACTACACACAAAGACATGAGTGCGTGTAAAATGGTGACCTCTAAGCTTTGTAGAGTTGTGATATTATACTATAGTTATGCAAGATGTTTCCATTGGAGAAAATTGGGAATAGGGTACACAGGATCTCTACTATTTTTTGCAATTTGTTTTTGTTTTGTTTATCTCACTGGAAAATATTTTCTCTATTGATTTTTAGAGAGAGTGGAATGGGGGGGGAGAGAGAGAGAGAGAGAAACATCGATGTGAAACAGACACAATGATTGCCTCCCGCATGTGCCCCAACTGGGGCCGGGTTATCAAACCTGCAACCCAGGTCAGTGCCCTTGACTGGGAATCGAACCCAAGACCCTCTGTTGGCAGCCCAACACTCTAACCACTGAGCAAACCAGCCAGGACAGCAGTGTTTTATGAATCTATATTTATTTCACATTTTAAGGTTTTTTTAAAGATGCCCTCACTGGTTTGGCTCAGTGGATAGAGTGTCGGCCTGTGGACTGATGGGTCCCGGGTTCGATTCCAGTCAAGGGCACATGCCCAGGTTGCGCCCTCGATCCCCAGTGGGTAGTGTGCAGGAGGCAGCCGATCAATGATTCTCTCTCATCATTGATGTTTCTATCTCTCTCTCCTTCTCCCTTCCTCTCTGATGTCAATAAAAATGTATTTTTTTTAAAAGTTTTTTTAAAGATCAAAATGATGTAAGAAGATATAAACTGAGAAAAATCACTTGTGTCTCTGTCCACTCTGTTCTCTACCCCCAGCCACCTTCATGATTTTCTGATATAACTCACAGCGTTCCCTCATGCAAATAAAAACACACTCAAACCAGCCTCCCATCCCCCTTCCCTGGCTTTCACAAGGAAGCACACCCCATCTACTATTCTGCATCTTGCTTTCTTCATTTATTCTTCCCAGAGAGGTTTTCAGATCAGCTCCTACAGAGTTCATAGTCCTCGCTGTGTGGCCTCCAACCCCACTGGGTGGATATACCAGTCTATGCAGGGTCCTACTGATGTTTCCTTGGGGGCTTCTTACAAGTTGAAGGACCTACGCGTGCCATGAGACAGCAGGTGCCAGCAGGTGAAAGGAGACGAATGTCTTCTTGTCAGAGGTCAGCTCTCATGTGCAACTGACAGAAGCCCCGGGCTCCTCACGGCATCCTGCTGGCAGGTCTCCTGCCGTTCTCCCAGGGTTCAGACATCGAACTAAGAGAAAGGCATGTGGACCTGGGGTGGGGACGCCAGGTTCACGTCCCTGCTCTTGACCGCCTGTGACCTTGTCCCGTCACCGTCTCTAAGCCCCAGACACTTCACCTGAGCAATGCAGTAATGCCTGCCTGTCCTCCCACATGAAAATACTTGGAGAATCACAAAATGTTCTACAAGCGGGTGGTGATGCTGCTCAGTAACGTTTATGAAGTGGCAGGGGCTTAGAGATTTAGGAATAGGATAAAGGTATGAGAAGCGTGGCTTCTCAGAAGTCAGGAAAACCCTCTGATCCGCTAGGCGTACCACGCTGTTTCTGAACCACGTGGCTGATGACCAGTATCTCTGTCTAACGTACTTAGGCAACAGCTACTGGGCTTGCTGATCCTATCTCCTGCCGGGCCTACACGAATTCCTACGAGGTTCACGGGACACAGCAGTCAAGGGCCCCGACAGTTAAAGCGGACGGGTCACGAGAATTTTCGCTTCACATTACACAGTGTTTTACAAAGGATCATACTTGAAAAAGATCTTAGCTTGTAAGAACATGTAATCAATAACTTCCAAATGCAATGGGTATTTCATTTTAAAGCGTGCCTTTAACATTTATGTAAAACGTTTTTTGTACTTGTTCAATAGGAACTTATCTGGCCACTGGGTAAAGCTAGCAATAAGATGACTAGTCCGCGATGTGTTAAGAAGCTACATTCCTCTCATTTAAATCTGAGGTTAACATCAGGTCAGAACTGCCACCCTCCACCCCGACACTGAAGCTACTGGCCACTCTCCCTCCAGCAGAGCGTGTGAACTGACCCAGACACCAGCCTAATTCACGTGGAGTGACTTCCCCTCCCCTTGTCTCTGCCTTGGTGTTCCTTACGTATACATGGCAATACCTCACCCCCTGTGGAGAAACAGGACTCCTGTCCTACAAGATGTGGGAACCTGAATGTTTCCTTCTGGGACAGAGTCTGTTCAAACAGTGGACTCGTGACCCATACAGCAAACATCTGCGAGGCCGAAACGGAACAAATCTACATCTTGTCAACCAACCCACTGACGGCAACAATCTGCTGAAGGCATATGGCCACTGACTGCTGTCACAGTTCCAGCCAGGCGACCTGGCTTAGCTATAGGATCAGACAGGCCCAGGTATTCCCAGAGCTGTTAGTGCAGGACACAGACGCCAGGAGGAAAGAAACAGGTGAGCAGAGCCAGCAGTGGTCTCTGGTGAGACGGAACACGACGCTAGGACAGCAGAGGGCTCTGTAGAGGGAAGTGGAGACTCTGAACGTGAGATTTTTATTGTAAGTAGTGGCTTTCTCACTGAGGCTGCCTTGGTGCCTAATCATACACCCACGTCTGCCTCTGCACTGCAAATGTGAGCACCCTGAGGAGAGCAGGCCAAGTATTTATTTATCTAAGCCAAGCAGTAAATGAAAACAATTTTTACATTTCCTCTTCTCCAGGAGCAAATGTTGCTCATGCTGTCTTGTGTATTCTCCAATAAATTTTCTAAGCATATAGATATGCTTATTTCCTTTTCTAAACCCAAATGGAACTCGCCTCTTAAATGTGATGTTGCCTGTATTTAAGGGAATATTCTAAATGTATTTTAAAGAGAGCCATCACCTCTAAATTAAAATTTTCTTTGGAAGTTTATTAGACTCAAATAAAGCAAATAACATATTCAGTTGTACCAAGAATATATTGTAATGTACTATAAGTCACAATTTAACATGTAATAAGAACCCATGAAGTCGTCTGGTCAAAAGTAGCATTCTTCTTTTGAGAAAAAGTTGACATTCTTTAATTCTGCATGGACCCTGAATTCCAGACGCCGGGTTTTAGTCTTCGTACAATGGTACACTTGTAAGAGGTACAAAACACTTATTGAGCTTTCAAAGCCATGGTAAGGGGCCTTTTAGAATAGCTTCTTTGCAGCGAATTAATCTGATTCCTGTTTCCTCAGCCCACGCCTACCTCCAACTTAAATTTTACAGGAGCCTCCCAGCAATGCCAACCCTGCACCCAGGGCACGAAGGAAGTGAAGGACTGCGGAGTTCCGCGTGGAAAATACAGGGGCTGATCTGCTTAAGACAGCCATGCCTAGAAGAGTTCAGGCGGAGATGTCTTGTGTCTAATGTGGCTTTTCTTGAACTCTGAAGACAAGGTTCTTTAAATTCACTCATCATTTCCCTTTATTAATCAAGAAGTGCACGTTGCTGCAGCACATGCCTTTCCTGGTGGGTCTCAGGCTCCAGTTTTTGTTTTAAAAAGAATTTTGGTTAGTCCCTCACCAACAGAGGACTGAACCAGGCTTATGATGTCAGAGAATGACAGTCCACGCAACCCGGGCTGCGCCCAGCATCCCAGAGCTGGCCTGTTACTTGTCAAGCCTTGGCAAGTTCCGCAACATAGTCCCATAGATTCAGAGGAACTTACATCACTTACATTTGGCAGAACGTTTTTAAAAGCCTAAAACCCTAACATTTCTGCAGGCTTCTCCTTGAGCTTCCTGACCTTGCGGTAACCCCTGAAGGCCAGCACGGCCCCCATGGCAAAGACCCCAATGCCCAGGGCAGCAAAGATGCCAGCGCCTATATCTCCCCCATGCAAAGTGCAGCTGAAGCCGCGGTAGCCTTTGCTCTCGTACAGCGCCTCCCGCTCCTTGCACACGGGAGAGGCGTAGGCGGCCGACAGCGCGTGGAAGTAAAAGTACAGAGCGGGCACGTACGCCCCAGCGATGAGCATGTCCAGCGAGCCTTCGATCAGCAGCCACAGGGGGCAATGCCACGGGACCCGCAGGACGCCCAAGGCGATGAGGAGGCAGCAGAAGGCCATGAGGGCTCCGCCGTAGGCCATTGCCGCCGTGACCGTGGGCAGCTTGAGCTGGTAGAACTGGATGTCCAGCTGCTGCGCTTTCTCCCCATCAGCGCCATCGAAACCACTGTAAGCCCCTCCGAATTGGTAATAGTAAATGCCCCCCAGGCTGGCGATGCCCGTGTAGCCCCCCGTGGAATTGTAAGACACAGAGCTGCAGACCAGGATCAGCAAGTTCAGGAG